GGTGGATGGTGGCAGCCCCTGCGCTGGCCGCGTGGAGATGCTGGAGCCCGGCCAGTGGGGGTCTCTGTGTGACGACACGTGGGACCTGGAGGACGCCCACGTGGTGTGCAGGCAGCTGAGCTGCGGCTGGGCCATCCAGGCCCTGCCCGGTTTGCACTTCGCCCCCGGCCGAGGACCCATCCACCGGGACCAGGTGAACTGCTCCGGGACCGAGGCCTACCTGTGGGACTGCCCGGGGCGGCCTGGAGAGCGCTACTGTGGCCACAAGGAGGATGCTGGCGTGGTGTGCTCAGGTCAGTGGGTGACGCCTCTGCACCCCTGTCCTCCACCAGCACGCACTGTGGGCCTCCTGGGCGCCAGGCCTGGCGTTCGTGCTGGAGAGATTGTCCCTGTCCTGGCATGGCCACTGTCCAGGAGGGAGGATGAGACCAGACCAGCATAACCCCAGGCAATGAGTGGTAAACGCTCTCAGAGAGAAAGCCAGGGGAAGCTTAGAGGCAGCGGGCACCCCAGAGCCGGAGGGATAAACGCACCCACATCTTAGGGGGAGGCTCTTCCTGAGGGGAGGTAGTCACCTGGTCGGAGCAGCACGGGAAAACGGAGGCAGGGAGGCCCTGAGGAGGCTGCTGGCCCAGAGGAGGCCATGAAGTTCTGGTCCAGCCAATGCTTCTCTATAACGTGCACAGGAACTGGCGGGAAGGAGGGTCTCGTTAAATGTAGATTCTGATTCCGTGGTTCTGGGACACGACCTGAGAGTCTGCATTTTTCACAAGATCCTGTAACCAAACCCAGGCTCAGCTGCCTCTTTCCACAAAAGCCAAACTCGCGAGACAGGCGCTGGTGAGAAGGAAATAGGTTTATTCAAGTGCCGGCCACCTGAGAAGATGGGGACTCTTGTCCCAAAGCCCATCTTAACATCTTAGTGTGGGCAGAGGCTTTTATAAGGAGGGAGAGAGAAAGCGGGGGGGGTGGGGTGGGGGATGTGGACAGGCAGGCAGTGTCCCTGCTGGTCCCAGTATGGATGTTCATGGTCAGCGTCCTCGAGTGGCCATCTGGTTTTCTGAGGCCCTGAGGTCAGGTGCTCCTTAGGTTCCTGCAGGAACCGACACTGCTGATCTGTAAACGATACTGAGAAAACTTCAACATGCAGACTCCAGTGTGGATACAAAAGTCAGGTTAGAGCAGTGGTGGGCAAACTTTTTGACTCGAAAAACTTCAACATGCAGACTCCAGTGTAGATACAAAAGTCAGGTTAGAGCAGGGGTGGGCAAACTTTTTGACTCGAGGGCCACAGTGGATTCTTAAACTGGACCGGAGGCCGGAACAAAAGCATGGATGGAGTGTGTGTGTGAACTAATATAAATTCAAAGTAAACATCATTACATAAAAGGGTGCGGTCTTTTTTTTTTTAGTTTTATTCATTTCAAACGGGCCGTAGTTTGCCCACGGCTGGGTTAGAGTCACCAGCTGTGCTTAGGATGTACTAAGATGGTAGAAGTAGAGGGTAGTCATTGCCCATTACAATCCAGGTGACGCTGCTGCTACCGGTCCACGGGCCACACTTTGAGTAACAGAGACGTAGGAGCTAGAGCAGACGGGGAGGAGAGGAGGAGAGGAGCTGGCAGACGCCGGACAGGGCTCACGCGCGTGGAGACTGACCGGCTGTGGGCTGTTTGGGTTGTGGGTCTGGGCTGGTGGGGCTTTGGGCCTAACGGATCCTGACCTGACCTCTCTCTCCCCGCTCTTGCTCTCCACAGAGCACCAGACCTTGCACCTGACGGGGGGCACCGACCGCTGCGAGGGGCAGGTGGAGGTGCACTTCCGTGGGGCCTGGAACACGGTGTGCGACAGCGAGTGGTACACCTCGGAGGCCCAGGTGCTCTGCCGGGCCTTGGGCTGTGGCAGCGTGGCCGGGATACCCAGGGGGCTGCCCCACTCCCTGCCGGGCCGGATGTACTACTCGTGCCAGGGCGACGAGCCCACCCTCTCGGACTGTGCGTGGCGGTTCAACAACTCCAACCTGTGCAGCCAGTCGAAGGCAGCCAGGGTCCTCTGCTCAGGTACCCGTGCCCCCCACAGGTGTGAACCAGGAATTCCACCTGAATCCACAGTGTGGACTAGATGGGGCATGATACGGCCTGGCCTTAGAGGGACCACCTCGCCCCCAGGCCCCGGCAGACGCTGCTAGCTAACCCAGGCGTCTCTCCCACAAACCCCCCACGCAGCCTCAAACCCCCCACACAGCCTCAGGACCAGGCACCGGATCTTAGGATGCGTTTTCTGTGCTGGTCCGTGGTGTCTGTGGGCTGGGGTTGGCCCAGGAGATGAAAGCTACTTGCCACCCCAGGGCTGGTGATCATAGTAAAAATCACACTAGGAGACACGAATAGTAATAACAGCCCTGACCGTGCCTGGAGCCCTGATCCTGGGCCCGGCCTCGCCAAGCGCTGGGTCTGTCTTATTTTGGCGAAGACTCACACCCACGTGGGTCCTGGGTCCTACTGACCTTCGACAGCCCGATGGCAGCGAGAGGGCACGCCGTCGCTGTCCTATGTGCCGTGACGGACTAAGTGCTGCCCAAGTAAACTCCTACGTGTCATCAGTTGTGATGATTGAGGCCATCATCCCGATTTCAGGGGGGTTAAGGTGAACACGCGGGAGGGTTAGACCCGAAGAAATGCGGTAGGACCGTGTCTGGGCCTCAGTTCCAGGCCAGGTGGATCTGACGCTAGCCACGCCCCGGGCAGCTGCGAAATCCCGGAACACCCCCGGGACCTTGGGGTCGTGCCCTCCCTTACCTGCCAAGTGCTTATGGTAACGACGAGGGT